GACGTGTGCTCTTCCGATCTAATGTGCGCAGAAACGTTATCTGAAGTATTTACTACTGGTTACTGTTTAATTTTAGATATAGTTGCAGAATCGGTTTGTGGTGATACACTCTGTAGAACCATACCATACAATGATTGAAGAATAATTTCTGAAAAAAAAAAAAAAAACAAATGTTATGTACTTACATTGTAAAAATGTTAAAAATAACAATAGCATATACACATTAAAAATTTTAAAACATTATTGTTAAAAATCAAGAATTACTATTTTCTTATTTATTTTATAACCTTAAATATATCAAGCACAGAAAAAAAAGCACACATAGTAAAAATAAATAAATGTTTATTAAAATCAAAATTTGCATAACAGGATATACTCAAACATAAATATATCACAGACAAAAAATGCAATTATATATGAGTAGATTAGTAAATAAATTATTAAGCCAAAAAACCAGAATATTCTACATAACACAAAATAGCTTTGCAGGCGCTTAAAAGAAATTGCAGAATATCACATGCGCTTAAAAGAAATTGCAGAATATCACATGCGCTTAAAATAAATTGCAGAATATCACATGCACTTAAGTAATTATATAAAATGTAAAAGTAATAAAATACATTAATAGAAGTTAATGAAGTTAACAGTTAAGAAGTAATAGAAGTTAAAAAAAATAACACCAAATAAATTATTTAATATTGCAATGCATTGCCATGCTTTTGCTACCGTGGACCGAGTTCTTTTCCATGTGTGAATTTGAAGAAATTTTTAAACGGAATACAATAAATCGGGAAATAATTTTATTTTTTAGATCGTGACACATGGGCAAAGTAAACGGAATGTCAATGCACTTGTTAACAAAAAAAGATTTCAAATTGACATTTCGCTGTAATCTGAGAGTGTCATAATACGTCCTAAACAATTTCTCCATTGCTAAGAAAAAAGTAAAAGTTATTTCATTGACAAAAAAAAGAGTATCTTCCTTGTAGCATTTAATACTTGTTAATTTATTACAAAATAAAGAGTTTTCTGTTTTTGAACCAGTTGATCCAATGCACTCTGCACATGTTGCTTGATTCTTTGCAATGTTTGCAACGATATATCCAGTAACATTATACAAACTACAAAGTTCCATGTTTGTTAAAACGACTGTTGGTTCTAAAATCATGGAATCAACAGTCGTTAAATTTTCTTTTTCTGTTAATGATTGCTGAGGACGCGCTATGTTTTCTCTATTGCGTAAAATTGTCAAGAAATCAGGTAAATATGATCGGTCATCATCTTCGTAACTGCTCGTTGGCACAGACTTCATATACTGCGAAATCGAAATAGCCTTAAGATGATATTTAAATTGCAGTGCATTCGGTATACTTTGCCTGCTTCGTATCATGCTAAATAAATTTTCCACGCAATCTTGGGTGAATCGCCCTAACAATACAAACTTATAACTTCGTTCATGAATTAAAAAATCAGACATTTGAATTGCGGATAATGTTGAAATAACTATCCCGGTTTGAAATGGCTTCCAATGCCCTTTCGGACCGACTTGCAAAAAAGTGAATAGTTCAACTACCTCGCGTAAAAAATCAATAGTTTCTAAATATTTTTCCGGTTTCAAGTTACCTAAAGCTAACTTAAGCCCGCGATTTGTTATAAGTTGGAACCACTTTGCAATGGTCTCGACAAACCATGAGGTAGTTAATATTTCTGGTGTATTAGTATCGTCTGCTAACAATGTCAAAGCTGAGCTGACATGATGGCTCAACATATTGACAGCATTGCCGACTTTCATTTTTTGAAAATGCCTGTTTTTTTCTACCAATTCTTTTGTTAATTTAGGCGCTGGTTTTAACTGCAAGTCCTTCTGTTCAGAAATTAATTTATTTATATGATCCATTGACACCTTATTCGTTGGCAAGGCATATTTGTCTACCAATTTTTGTGGAATTGTAAGAAATGAATTACTTAGGAGGCCTTCCTTTAAATTTTTCAACGCGTGGGGAGGATCATGGAAAAAAAACAGTTTTTTCTGTTTGTCGCACGGATGAACGCAATAATTATTGACAGTCGAAAATCTACCAGCTTGTATTCCGAATGTCCGCCACATAGCTTGATTAGCTGACCCCATATCGGAAACTATGGCATGTACGGACAGCCCGATATCTTCTGCACGTCTAATAATTTCGATTATAATCGGTACAAAACTTGAACCGTGTACAGTATTTCCGGTGTAATAATATGCAACGATTTGTTTCCATCGATGTGCAATTCCAGCAAGCATAAACACTAATGCATGCGTAGCAATACCCGAGTGGTCTGGCAACGTAACCCTTCCAACATTTGCATTGACAGCCGGATCATACTTCTCACAAGCTATTATACTCATTTCATCCAAAACGACAATACAGTCTTTGTGAACATCACTTTCGAATTGAGAGCATTTGATACGTAAAAATTCGAAAACTTCTTCAGAGATGCCGCTTTCGAATTTCCACGATTCTAATTTTCTAGTTAAAGTTCTTAAGGATGGCAATGGCCAATGTTGAGCCAGCAAATGAGTATAACCCGAAGTACCACACGAGAACTTAATTTGGTAAGCTTTAACTAAGGTTTCGTCTGACCACTCGCATATTTTTTTTTTATGCATTACAAGCCGTAATTGATCTTTGCTTAATATTTTAGCTAGACCAGAAGATTTACTCTTATCAATTTCGGCCTGCAGTTGTTGAATCCTTTTACGAAGTCGCCTGTTGGTTCCTTTCATACGTTTTTGTATAATGTCGTCTTTTTTAATTACCTTTTTTGCCTTCTGAAGTTGGTCCCACAATTCTTCGTAAGAAGGTTTTTTCTCAGGAATATTGATTTCCAATTGCTCTGTGTCTATGACTTCGCTGTCACTTGAACCCTTTTCATTTTCGACAATTTTATGGTCAGATTCTTTGGAAGGTGCATCGATATTACTTGTTACATCTTGCAGCGGGAGCTCATCTATAAATGTAAAACAATCAAAGGATTCAAAGGAAAGGATTCAAAGGAAAGGAATCAAAGGACAAAGGAAAGAAGCTCGCAAAAGCATCAGGAGATTGCAGTGATATTAATTATAAGTAATTATGATGATTAATTATGATGATGCAGTGATATAATTTCATGTTAAATAATATAAAAATAAAAAATATCAGTAGTGTAATAATCATTACAGAAAAAATTAAAATTATATTTCAAATATTTATATGTTCAATATATTTTGGAATACATACCAACAGGTATTTCCTCATTCGTTGGAACTGCATCAACATTATTCGTTGCGATTGTCGGCTCGTTGTAACTCGAAATTCTTGAAAATATGGTTGGTATCGCGTTTGCTTTTAATTTCTTTTTACCGTCTTCACGAACCTTCTCCCACATTTCAGGGGCAAAATGTTTCTAAATTTAATAAATGATCAATGTATTATGATAAAAATAATTTGTACATTGTGAACGCACTAGACATAACAATATTGCACAGTGATATAATGTGATAGCTAACTTCACATATAGTGGCAGTCTTCGAAGGCGTCCAATCTTCTTTATTTAAATTTTTGATCCATATTTCTTTTCGTACTGGATCGCTCTTTGGGAAGGAACAGGCTTTGACTCCTTTTGGTATTTTTGTGTTACATGCTGCACACCATCCCATTATTATTTTGACACTATAAACATTTATCAATTAACTATAAATATGTATATATTCATATTATATAAGATGTAAAATTAAAAGAGATAAAGATATTTTTATTTTATTAGAATTATGATATATATATCTTTAAAAAATTCTAAAATATTTAAATAAAGGTTGTTAAACCAATGGTTAGGTTATTTTACGCATGCAGGAATTATTTTAAGTACAGAAAAGATAATGGGGATTTCTCCGTTTTACCTGGATAACAGCTAGGAGCTCATCCGATTCCAACTTTTGTAAAATTCTATAATTTGATTCTGTCAATTCTGTGTGACAACCATGACAACTCTGTTGTCTGTAGTACTCTATACCAACAAAAACTGATTTCACCTATTCACTTACATTAACTAACACATCGACAAACTGAAATATGGCGGCACCAATCACGAAGAGGACCGCTCGTGTCTCAACTCTGACTAGAGGAACTCTACGCGCGAGCTGCCGCGAGCGCGCACGGCGGAATACGCGCGCGGCTGAGGAGACTTGGAGAACCGAGCGACTGGTGAACCGCTACCGACCGCCGCGCGACCGCGTATGCGCGAACTTCATGAACTTCATCAATCATCCCTCGAACGCTGCGACTGCTGCGAATAAATTCCTATAGGCAGGCTAAATTTATTCCACACGAGTTGATCCTACGTTAATCTTTTTATTAATACAAATTTAATTAAAAAAATTATTTCAGAATATTGTATTCTTCCTTCAAGAAAAATATGATCAAGGAAAGTGAAAAAAGGCGAATGACATAAATTACCTTTACGATTTCACTCGGCCTCTTTTTACCGATTGCGAATGCGACCACGCGGGCACGCGCATGTGTGGCGAGAACTGTCACCAACTCGCACCCACGTCAATTTGTCAACAGATTGCCTTGTCAAATGTCAAACTTCTCGCACGTATAATCGGTATAATTCGCGTATAAAGGACATTTAGTAAGCCTTATCAATGGCGGCGATTGATAAAGTTAAAATTATCGTAGTAGGCGACTCAGGTAAACACGAGGAAAATACTTGATATCTTGAACATATTTTTTCTTTTTTTTTCCGATGTTTTGTAATATTTTACTCAAACGATCAGTGTTGAGCAGAATTTAAAAGATAATTATTACGATAAAGCTGTCTCGTTACCGTTAGTGTCTCTATTATTTCGGAAATGATCGAATTTTCACGCATTTAGGTTATGTACAATTATGTGATAACGCAGACTGTAAACCGTTGTCGTAGGAGAGATATTGCTTTTATGAGAGAACGCATCGTCTACATAAATGTCTTTGTTATCGCAGGCGTCGGTAAAACATCGCTGACACATTTAATATGCCAGCAGCAGCCTATCGGCAATCCTTCCTGGACGATAGGTTGCTCGGTGGAGGTCAAGTTGCACGAGTACAAGGAGGGCACGCCGAATCAGAGGAGATACTTCGTCGAGCTGTGGGACGTCGGCGGCAGCCAGAGTCACAAGAACACGAGATCTGTGTTTTACAATCCCACGAACGGTATAAAACGCGTTATTTCCTCATAATTCTCAGACGTACAACGTCTACGTTCGTCTGACGTTTACGGACGCGTAATTGTGTGGCAGAATGTGACAGTGATTGCAAATGTATGTCGTTCACAACTAGGCATAATATTAGTCCACGATTTAACGAATCGTAAATCACAGCAGAATCTGCAGAAGTGGCTGGAGGAGGTTTTAAGTAGGGACGGAACTTCCTCAAGGTCCAAGTCGACGTTCGAGGACTTTGATCCCGAGAAGTTCGTGGGCTCGACGCAGGTGACAAAGATTTTTCCAAGCGACTGTGATATGTCATAGGTCCGTTCTTTTCAGCTGAATTGGCTGCACCGGTTCGGAGTTTTTGTCTTTCTTCTTTCAATTATAGAAAGAGAAAGATAAACCAGTGCAGCCAGTTCAGCTAAAAAGCACAGGCCTATTGTTGTCAAACGATTTATGCAAGTGTAACAATAACGCTTGTTTTTTTTTTTCAGATTCCAATTTTGGTCATCGGCACAAAGCTCGATCTGATCTCAGAGTCCAATTTCGTTAAGTCCAACATACACAGACGTTCCGCGACCATCGCGGAGGAGTGCGGCGCGGACGAAATATTTCTGGTAAGTGTCTAGCAACTCGTCTAACGAGACACGCCGAGCACGCTCGAGATTGACGCGATCCTCACTTCGACAGGACTGCCGTCAGATAAGATCCTTAGCGGCGGGCTCCAGCTCGTCCGTGAAGCTCAGCAGATTCTTCGATAAGGTTATCGAAAGACGCTACTACTCCAGAGAAGCGATGAGCCCCGACAAGCGAAGGCCGCCGCAGTACACCTCCTCGCTCTATCCCAAGTTTTATCACAACGACTAAAGTACCCCAAGAGATCTCGAGGAAGATCCTATTTCAGAGTTACACGGAACAATCATTCTTGTGGCACGGAGAACGTTACAAGATTGCGCGGATTAAGTATATTGCAAGGCTATCGCATTTCGCATTTCTTATCCACATTCCCAATTTCTTCCCCCGGAAGTCAGATATGCTCAAGAGAAAGAGAGAGAGAGACAACTGTGAACGCAACAGATTGAAAATATATTAGACATTCGATATATTTTTCACGCATCTATATATTGTAAAAACATCGCATTGTATACAATATTTATTTTATAATATAACGTAATTTTATATGTACAATCTGTTAATTATCTTACTGTTACGTTAGTAAAATCCATGTAATCGCATTATCTGAAAAAATATACGTTATATTTTTCTGTTAAATCATAATGAAATCAAAGATTTCTCAATCAAGCGCAGAGCATTCGGATTGAGATCGAAAATGATTGCGAGAGTTCAATCTAGGGGCACGGGAAAACGACAGTCACTGACGCGGGTTGGTCAAACTGCTGAGATTCTAGTTACTTCGTGGTGGATTTTCCTCTCTCGCGGCGCCGCGTCGCGTGTTCCCCCACTCCCATGACGGCGCGCGCGGCGAACGGAGTCTTTCAAAAGGCACGTCCTCGCCGAACGCGGTCGGCAGAGGCGCGTGACAGGTGCGCGCGGGACGATTTGCACGTATGGTTTGAACGGACGGCCGCGAACAGCGGGGGGGAAAGCGGGCCTTTCCTCCTGAACTTGGGCTCTGCAGCTAGCCGTAGCTCCGTCGTGGACCGCGACCCTGGAAGTCCCGTCGCTCCGGCCGTGAGATCGACGTTCACCCGGCTCTCTCTCTCCACGTGAGTGCTGCAAATTCGGGGCACGTGCGCCCGCCTGCCATTTTTCTTTTTTCGCTCGAACATCAAGGTTATCGCATCTGTAGATACTAGATCTGCACCATTAATAGATAGCGTCGACGCGTGTGGAGGATTGTTCCTGCCAGATTTTTTCGAGACTCGGCCAAACGTCAATTAACTTAACTTCGATGCTTGTCAGGCAAATACTGTATTTTAATAATGTATAGATAGGATTATTAAATTTTTTTTGTTCGACATATGGAATAAAAAGATTGGAGGCGATGAATTATATGTTGTTGGAGAGTTTAAGCGATTCTGCGAATTAATCGCACCGATTATATTAATTGGAGTCAATTGCTCTGTACGCGTACAAGGATAGGCGTGACGTTCGACTGGCTCGGTGAATCACTTCTTAACAGATGGCTTTTCCGCTTTCCAGGTATAATATTGCCGCGCATAAGATATGTCCTATCACCTCGCAAAGAAGTGCGCCAGCACGAACAATCTCTGTCACGTGTTGACGCGTGTACGACCTATGATTTGCATTCAGAGATACAGCTACGCTCACGACATAGACATAAATCTGAGCGGCGGACCGGTCAGTATTCTGAAGCAGAAGATAGCGAGGGGCGAGCTGGCGAACGATGCGTACCAGATGAAGGTAGCGCAGACCCTGCAGAAAATGTACCAAGAGGTGCACGATTACAAGCCGCAGCAGTTGAACCTGTTGGAAAAGTGGTTCGGCGGCAAGCGGAGGGATGCGCCGAAAGGGTTGTACATTTACGGAGCGGTGGGTGGAGGTAAAACAATGTTGATGGACCTATTTTACAATTGTTGCCAGGTATCTCTCTGGTTGCTGTTTTGCATAAAGCACTGTGCATGGGAAGCTATAGATTAAATGTCTTTTAATCAATTTTAACGATGCGACAACACGTGTTTTTGTTTCTCTTTTTCAAACATGTTTTTACAGTCTGGAAACTGAGATAACATGTGGACAGTTCTTGTGTAATTTATCCAACTTGGTAAACGGTTATTGAAATAAGAGATAGTTGCTGCGCGACGAGAGATTTCACAAGAAAGATTTTTCAAATCGAAACAAACAAGTTTAAAATAAACGATTGAATAAACATAGATCAGAATATGAGTGATAAATAAGTAAAAATAAATTCAGAATAGATGAGTGACTCAATCGAGATACATTATGGCTTTCCATGCATAGTACGGAAAAAAAATAACATTTTCCTGTGATGATATAATATAATGTATCTTAAAATGAATAAATTTCAGATTGAAAATAAAAAACGGGTACACTTTCACTCCTTCATGCTGGACGTGCACAGTAGAGTGCACGAGGTGAAGAAGACCATTGTGCGAGATGTGACGAGCACCAAGCTGCAACCTTTCGATCCGATACGCCCGGTCGCCTCCGGCATTGCAGAGGAGACTTGGCTGCTGTGCTTCGATGAGTTTCAGGTTGAGATTCACGTTATTTTCGCGAGAAGAACGCCTCACTTCGCGTGTGTAAGGCGCAACTATAGATAAAAAGATTAATGAAAGCAGACGCGTTGCAGGTGACGGACATCGCGGACGCGATGATTCTGAAGCGGCTGTTCACGGAGCTGTTCGAGAACGGCGTGATAGTGATCGCGACCAGTAACAGATCGCCAGACGATCTGTACAAGAACGGGCTGCAGAGAGGAAACTTCGTGCCGTTTATAAAGGTGCTGAAAGATCACTGCCTCGTTAGTAACTTGGACTCCGGGATAGATTACAGATTGAAGTCGGGATCCGGGAGTAAGAAGATATACTTCATGTATGTAGAAATTGATTGCGTACACAATTTGAGACAAATCCGTCTTGTCTATTGCCGCCGTGTCTAACGAGCCGTGTAAATTACGTCACACAAGAAAAGGCAAGGACGCCACGAACGACGTGGACAAGGTCTTCAAGTACCTGTGCTCCATGGAGAACGACGTGATACGACCGCGCACGATCTCCATAAGAGGACGCAACGTCACTTTTCGCAAGACCTGCGGGCAAGTGCTGGACTCCACGTTCGAGGAATTGTGCGACAGGGTGAGATGTTTCCCGATTTGTACACAGCATTTATACGCAGCGTTACGATTAAAACTATATATAAGTAATGTATCGATTTTTGCGCAGCCTCTCGGAGCAAGCGATTATTTGCAGTTGAGCCAAGTGTTCCATACAGTCATAATCAGGGACGTGCCTCAGTTGAATCTACGACTTAAGTCTCAAGCCAGGCGATTTATTACTCTCATCGATACGTTGTACGACAATAAGGTAAGAATTTATACGATTTAATGCGATTTTAGTTCTAAACTGTAATATTTGCAGTTTGAGACGTTAACTCATAAAGAATCAGTCGTATGTAATGCAGAGAAAAAGAAAAGATAGAATTTTGACTACGAATCAATGGTCATAAGACTAGATTAATAAAAAGCCAATGTAATTAACGGAGGTTTATTAAATTGTAGGTACGGGTAGTTATGTCGGCAGCTGTGCCACACACGCAATTATTTTTACCGGAAACCGAGTCCGAATACACCGACGAGAAGAGGATGCTGATGGACGACTTGAAGATTACGCATGGCTCGGTACACGATTTCCTGATTTTTTTCTTATAAAAAAAAATTCGTGCGTGGAATTAATTGCGTTAATTTTTGTTCCCAGGAGGACCACAAGGCGAACATCTTTACCGGAGAAGAGGAACTCTTCGCGTTCGATCGTACCGTGTCACGTCTGGCCGAGATGCAAACCTCGCAGTATTGGGAGCAGTGGGAGCACCACAGATAATGATAGTTTTAAAGCTAGCGCGCTCACAGATTTGTGTAGCACCGCGTACGAATTTTCTCACTCACTCGAGGCTAACTTAAGGTTGTTAACTTAGCGATTGTAATTTTTACAAAAAAAAAAATCGATCTCTTGCGCGGGCCGTTTACTTAAGCTTTCTCGTCGGGTGCGCGCGTTACGCTCGAGGCGTAACTTTCGCGCTTTCTCAGTATTTCATCTCGTTTGGGACAGACGTTCCTCTCGGGAGACAGATTACCTCCAACGATAAATTATTTATGTTATTATTTATGAGCGTAAAATCATACGTGCCGAGTATTACCGAGCCCTAATGCAAATATCTTTATATCTGTGTACATACGCAAAATTGTTTCAATTACATGGAATTTTGCACTGATGACTAATTGTATTGATTAATTCACTTTTCTGCTAATAATATTAAGGATTGATTTTATGCAGCTTTAGGACACATACAATAAAAGAAATAAAAAACGAATTGAACATAAGGAATTAGGAAAAAGTCCGAGTAGGACGAAAAATCACATTGTCTGCCTCATAAGTTTTTCCTAATTTCCTGTTCAATTTTCCGTTCCTGATTTCTTTTATTATATCCGAGCCCTTAAAATTTACTGCTATAACCGTATTTTTACAATCAATTTAAATATAATATAATATCATATGTTTAGTCATCGACGATCGGTCACATCGGTATTTTGATTATCCACGGACCCAACGAGGCCCAATGACAAGTGACAACACAGCAGACACACCAAAAAACACGCGTGCCGGGCCGGGTAAATCTTAAAATCTACACAACACAGTACACAGATTTCTTGGAACAGTTACTGATCCGCAAGAAAAAAAACACAAAGTAAGCTCACTTCTTTCCTGAAAGTCGACAAATACAAGAAGTATTATGCGCGAAACGATCGTTATCTCCAGTTCGAAGTGCGTAACACGCGTGAAAAAACTTGTGTATCGTATATTTATGAGTGCTAGTTCTACGTCGTTCTGTATCTCATGCCTATCATCCTTATCACTTGTAGCTTTTATTTCAAACGAAGACGCAGATCAACAGACTACAGAATCGTTTTTGGACGTGTATCACGCGGCCTGGCGGTTAGACGATAATCACGTGGCCTGACTGTTTGTAGTAGCTTTCGTCCGAAATTAAAGTTTTTCTCACGAAATCATGGGAGACACTGAAGACAATCCTCCGAAAACTATCCAAATGAACTGTTTTACCGAAGGTAATTAATTAACGCAATAATTCTCTGATCTTATATTGATTCATGAAAACATCTGCTTCGTATTTATGTATATATTCCTATTATTTTTTTTATACAAGATATTGCACAATATATAGATATATATATATTATATATTTATATATTTATATGTACATATATATAAAGTTATAATATATATTATATTAATATAAACACATTATATTTGAATCTTACTTTTTAGCATGGTTAAAATCATTAGATGTGTACATTAATGAGCCAGCAGTGAACAAAAGCGTGCGACAAATAGTTTATTTAGCTACCACAATAACAGGAACCAATAAAGTGGCCTGGTTACTGAAGGCAATAAGTTTCATCGATTTAACTACTTTGGGTAACGACGACACGAGCAGCACCGTGGAAGAATTGTGTAAAAATGTAAATTGAAACATTCTTAAATGTGATATTAATCAATAACTGATCGATTAATTACTGGCTGTTTTATTACAGGCTGCAAATCCCATAAAGAAACTGCCATTCCAATGGGATAAGCCACTTCACACTGCCGCTGTTTGTGTTTATCCGTCCAAAATAAAAGATGCAATATCTACCTTAAAGAAATTGAAAAGGGATAACGTGATTAAGATTGCTAGTGGTAAGAAAAACAAAATGTTTTTTTTTTTATCTAATGTGAATGTAGCAGTATTACTTAATATAATTTTCGTATCAGTGGCGGCTGGATTTCCTTCCGGACAATACCCATTGGAGACTCGATTGCAAGAAGTGCGCTGTGCGATACAATATGGAGCGCAGGAGATAGATGTTGTGATCGACCGATCGTTAGTCTTGAGCCACGAATGGCTGAAGCTGTACGAGGAGCTGTCAGCTATTCGTTCAGTTTGCAACGAGGTGAACAGTGCAGTGCAGCTGAAGGTTATACTATCATCGGGGGAATTATTCAATTTGAAAGACGTGTACAGGACGTCTATGATAGCTTTGTTTGCCGGCGCTGATTTCATCAAGACGTCCACAGGGAAAGATGCGGTTAATGCGACATTGCCAACCGGCATTGTTATGTGTAGAGCGATAAAGGAGTACCAAAGACTGACCTCGAAGAAGGTATAGCAATTTATAGTGATCTTTGTGTATAATCGAGAACCGTGACACACCTTTTGTTTCCAGATCGGCTTTAAACCTGCCGGCGGCATTAAGACTGCACAAGAGGCTCTGGAATGGATGGCCTTGATCAAGGAAGAATTGGGAAAAGATTGGTTGAGAAACGATCGTTTCAGAATTGGTGCATCCTCTTTATTGCAAGACATTAGCACTGAAATTATCAAAACATACGAAGCCACGCTTGAAAAATCACAGGAGGCCAGTGAAGAAAAGATATCTAGCGTTAAGAAAGAAGAAAAAAAAGAGGACTCAAAAAATTAGATTCGACGAATATACAGTCATGAAATATTTTTGTATCGTTTCTATATTTATATATTCGCAGTTTTGAAAGTAATCTTTCCGTGTGTTAACAAATCTAAATAAATTTTATTTCATAATGCTCTAAGAATTTAACTGATTTAAAAAAATTTACTCGAAGCTAAGATCGATTTAAATTTTAATTGTATAAATTAGAACGAAATTGTAGACGCGATTGCTCTCTGAAAAGCTAACAGGAAAGAATCTCTTGTGAATCGATCGATAAATTATGCGAAGTTATATAAACCAGATAACGAATGTAAGAGAGAACACAATATGCCATATGTTGATATCAATACGTATAGCAATTATGTGCGCTTGCTAATAAAGTTACTAAACCTTTCAATTATAGTTCAGTCAAAACATCATATTAATAATATAGCATTATCAATCAAGCCGTTACGTTTTTTTTTTTGTTCAATTATATATTTTGGCAAAATAAATATACTCAATCTAATTATTCCTTAATTTATAAATCAACCTGAATTTATCTAATTAACCTAATATGAAATTTATTTTAATTAATTTAAATTGTATTATTGTTTAATAGTTAAATTGTAGTTATACAAACTTTTAATTTGAATTATTGAAATTATCATTGTTGAACAATGCGAGAATTTAAATTCTTTAAAGAACTTTGATATTCATAAATATATAGAATGATATAGATAATCGTTCTTTATGCGTGCTCTCTTTCTCTCACTCTATTTTTTTTAAGAAAAAAAGCGATTGCTTACGATTAACATAAAAAAAAAATTACTAAAAAATCGATACAAATATCAAAATAAGTATTAATTATTATTGGATAATTTAAATAATTAATTGTAGATGAGATATTAGAAAATATAAATAATTGCATCTACATATCTCAATTTTTATATTAATAATATCTGATATGTCGACTATCGAATTTTTTTTATTAATAATTAAGAAATTATCTCTCACGTACTACTTTCTGAAAAATCGAGTAAGTAGCATAGAATACGTCAAAGCGGGCGATATCGCGACGCCCATGTGTCTAAATATATCGATCAGTAAATATATCCTACATAATTGACATACTTGGTACACATGCGGATACGTAAATACATAAATGTCTCATTAAAATCATCAGTTTCATTCTCCCAGGCCGACGTAACACGACGAAAATGATAAAAATTGCAAATAATCCAAAGCATTTGGGAGACTGCTTGGAATTTACTTGAATGTTTGCATGCATTATACATTATAGAAATGTTTTTATACGTTAAACACATCAAAATGCAGTACCTGTAATGAATGTAATCTAATTCCGTGAAAAAAGCGCGTAAAAAAAAGAGAACGATTATGGTGCAGCGGATCCAATTTCTCTCTGAACTTTATCTTAATGTCGTGTAATTGAATCTTGTGAAATTGAAAACGTATTTACATATGTCGGAGTTTTGCACAAAAATTGAAACTGTTTTCAGACAACGCGTATCTAAAAAAAAATCTTAAACCTTTTTTAATGTTATCTGAATGAACATCGTCGATGTCATATCGTTTTCAGTTCTGGTCTTGTATACACATACAGTTTGCAAAAACGTTCAATTTATATATACGCAACAATTCACAAATAGAGATTCAATTTATTCGTCTAAAGTGTAAATTATTGAAAAAAAACTTCATATACAATCATTTAAATTCTCCACAAAATATTCCGACATTATATGTATACGTAGTCATATTTTTTTTATTTAACTTTATTTGTTCTCATCATTTATTATTCTCATCGTCAAAATGTGAAGTTTATTCTTCAGCACGAAGTTAAGTTTTTGCGATACAATCGAGAATTCAAGATACTTTGATTATGTACACGGCTTTGGATCCTCTCTCATTTGGCAGCGTTATTCCACTTAGGACCCACTCAAACTTGCGGATTCGTTCGGGCGGAGGCGGGTGTGAATCGCCACCGGAAATCGAGGCTCAAATCCAATATAGATCGATCAGTAAATAGACCTCGAGCCGGCGCGAGAGCCCGCGTCATCGGCTGCTCGTGTGCCCCTCGCGTAGTATTTGCAGCTTGCAAGCTCCGCTGCGTCTTGCCCTCTGGCAAAGCCTGTCGTGACACCGTTTCGACCGCATTGCGCCGGGTAACGGCCGGGGCCCCGGCCCGTCACCGTCGGCTTTATTCCGCGCCAGTCGCACGGCTCGCCCGGCTCCAGCGGCCGTTCCGCGCGTTTTCGGCCGTGCCCACGCACCAGCGATTGCGGTGAGTCCCCTCCGCGGATCGCGCGTGCACCCCCGTCCACTCGGCGGCCACGCGCCACATCCGATGGACCAGCCACCCCCCTCGACTCACTTGGGAAACCCGCACTAGCTATAAGCTCGGCCCGCCGCTCTCGGCAAGTAATATACACGACACCACCGAGCAGGATATATACCGGCACCATCGGCACATACGAGACTACCTCGTCATACACTCTATATTCGGATACCACCGCTTCCGGGTCGGCATAGCGCGGATTCGCGGGCCGGCCGCGAAAGGGAGAGATCGCGGCGCGGCGTCGAGAATCCGTCGGGATCACGCTACTTATGAGCCCGCAAGAAAGAGACGAATATATAATTCGCTATACGAAAGTTTAATCGTAATGTAATTGCAATTGAATTGAAAATCAAATATTTCCGGCGAGTCGTGTATACATCGAAACAAAATCGCGAGTTATTCGATGAAGGACAAGAATCGAAATTGGCGCGATATCGATTTCGCGTTCAATTTTTTTCGCTGCGAAAAGATGCTTGTTATATATATTATTGCGGATAAATCGCGGAAAAACGATTTCGCAGCATCGAAATCTGAATCTATCGAGACACAACGGTCTAAATATCGAAAAAACTCCCCATTTGCTCCGGCATTTGCCGGATGTATTCTTTGATTTCATTGATAATGTTTCGTTTTTATATAAAGAAAAAAAGGATGCGCTGTTCAAATTAGATTTTGTTTTTTCAACAATGTTGATTCAGTAAATTATGATGAAGCTAACATAGAGATGTATCATCAGTCATTTGATGACGATTTGATTTCGTCACATATGTTGCTATTTGCCGGTTTGAATTCTATTTAAGATTTATGATTATATTTTTAGACATACCTCACCTTGATACTTCGCGTAACCGGAATCGTTGACCTCTCTCTAAATAACGCATACTTTTATCATTCGTCAGAATATATAGCAATATTTGTTTCCTCGGTCGCATTCGTAAACAACATTAAAATAGCACTGGAAATCGCAAAAAGACCGTATCCGACAGTCGTATTGCCATATTATTGCGCATTGCCAAAATCCTGTTTTACCCGAGTCTTACGTAATAATCCAATCAAGCTGAAAGTATTTAAATATCGCCGTATTTAAAAACATTTATAGTAAATAGGAAGAGTATAATTACAGAATAATGTGATAATAAATTTAAAAAATTGGCAATTAATTAATTTAATTAATGTAAAAAGACAATGCAGAATTTAATGAATATTTGTGATATAATCGATCTTCCTTTCGCAATTATTACATGTAATTATAAAGTCTAAATTTATATCTATTTGAACATAAGAATTGTTCCTTAAATAAATTCCATCTTTACTTACTTTATATCAGTTGCATTAGTAGCACAATTATGAAATGGATTGTAACTTCCAGGAGAGATTCTCTGTAAAAAAAAATGTTGTATATATATAAAATTTCGTCGATACTTTATCACCTTATTGTAAAAATGAGCCTATCAGATATAATTTCAGATGTAGAACGTCATGGCAATCAACATAAAATTTACAAAATTTGACAACACACCATGGGGCTTTCGACTAGCTGGTGGCAGCGATTTTCCGCAGCCGCTTACTGTTATCAGAGTGAGTTTCCTATTTCCCTTCTCTAGCGATTATTTATGCTAATGAGGCCGCACGTTAAATCATGAAATTATAATTCGAATAATATTAATTATTTTTACATTCTTAACACGGAATTTAAACACGATGATTTAGACATGATGGCTCTTCTTTGAATCAATTTAATTATTTAAAATATATAACTGTTTTCATCATTGTCTCTGCGATTAAATCCAAAAGCAAAATCCGAAAAAATCTAAAGGATAGAATAAAATTAGATTGGGAAAGTCCAACGGAATATTTTCGAAAAGGAGCGAGACATAAAGTGTGAACGTAATCTACAGGTCACGGAAGAAAGCCTGGCCGAATGTATGGGTTTAAAGGTCGGCGATGTCGTAGTAAGACTGAACGATCAACCGATTGGTGGCTTGACTCACGGACAAGCGCATGAAGCACTAGTGCACGCTGGCAACAACTTTGTTTTAGGTGTGCAGAGGTAAGTCTCTCGCGAGACTCATCGATTATGAATGGCATAGGAAAGAACATTTTTTACATCAGTAGCACTTTTTATGCAGTCTTTTTCCTTTAAAATGGACTCTAAGCGCAATTAGATAAATTATATGTGTTCATACATGCTCTTGTAACTTGCAAAAAGAGTTGTAAGAAATTTAGAATAAAAATTGAGTTCTAAAAATTGTTCTTAACTTTTTGAATTACATCATTTTTGTAATCTTGATAGATATAAAGTTTCTTCAATAGCTATATATTTGTCTTTCATCTGTTTCGTCCATTATTACAGAAATTACTAAATGAGAAAATTCATTTTACATTGCTGAGCTATCCAAAAATATAAGTTAATTAGATTGCATACATATACATAGTGTTTACATTGTATATTGACAAAACAGGAAATGGAGATAAATGACCGCGATTGCGCCGGTTGCACCGCGGCCAAGACGAGTAAGCGGGTACATAAATGCAATAGCTAAGTCGACCGCGAGTCGCATAAATTAGGCTCTTGTCCCGTACGGTCTCTCTCCCGGGAGAAATCGCTCTTAACCAATATTAGTTCCCGAGTTTATTGATATTGAAATTGCGCCATGTGTTGAAATCGCGGGCAAAATACATATTTTGGATATTAATGCGCAATTTGTGACGGAGTTTAGATTTTTTTTTCTTGCTGCTGTATAAGATTAAATCTAGAATTTAATAAAGTATATTTATGCACATTGCACATAAAATTAAAAAAATACAGGCTAGAATATATACATATAAGAGAAAAATAAATAAAAATATTTAAAATATGTTATGTTAAAATATATATTAATTATTAATTATACATCTTTTCCATGGTTGACGGAAACAATGTAGTACGACATAGAGATATCCGAGAGAGAAGAATTGCAGACTAGTGAATTCTTTCGATCGTCTTACGTCGTTACCGAGACCGGATTTAATTTCGGAGCGTGATAATCGAAGGCTGTATCTAATGAGTCCCCCAAGGATCTCGTGCCTAATGAAGGAAAGCGGGCGGTGCGCGTCATTCATCGCCGGCGTACTCTTCGATAATAACTTCGGCGACGCGGGCAAGAATATCCCGGCGTATGAGCTACGTGTGTGGCAATGTATTGCGAAACCTATAAATAGGTGACCCAGAATGAGAGATCTGTTTATCATTGGTCGGCGATTTTATTGCTGGTCCCCGTTCGCGGTCCGCGTCTCTTGCCGATTTGTCGCATTCGCGGGGATCCACTACTCGCGCGCGCAGGGTAGAGAAACGAGAGAGAGAACGAGCGACCGCGACATCCGCGAAAATCCGCGCGCGCGGTGCACTCGGCGTATAATCGCGTCCGCGCGCATAATCCCGACCGATCGCATTGTGAGCGGAAGAAAGTCTATTTTCTTGGTCGCTGTGTTTGTTGCTTGCGCAGAGAGGAGGAGGCACGAAAGGCCGTCGAGGCGATATCGGAAGAGAACATCGTCCCATATAAGATCGCCGTGAGTATATCCGTGAGATGAAAGGTAAACAGCATCCCTGTTGCACCTCTTAACTGGTGACGAGGGCCCTACGCGACTACTTCGACATTCGTCCCCCATCTTCTTCCCGGAGCACATCCGGCTCTATACCCGCGTACTTTCTCACGTTCGCTTGAAACTTGAAAATCTTTTACGTGAGAGTTTCTGGGGAGAACAATTATTTCTACCCAAATGGATTTAAAAACCGTACGAGAATAAACAAGTGTTCACGTCGCCAAGTAAGAGTTAAAGAACCGTTGCAGTCATATTTTTCCCTATTTTAACAGATGCTTAAAGAGTTGAAAAATATTTATTTTTATAGAATTTACAAAAATTGTATATCGTGCCACAAAAATAGTTATCTCACGGTTCCTAAAATGTTTGATTATAATGAATCAAGAAGTGTACTAATTTGAACGTTATACTTGTAACTGCGTGATTCCTACTTATTTTCCACCTGCAATTAAAAAAAAAATATCGCGATATTTTTCACCGGAAGTTAAACCTCGCTTTCATCGGGGAAAATCTTTGATCTCGAATACGCTTGACATTTAAAGAGATATGGCGTAGGTACCAGAGAAAGTGGCGACGAGAGATGATGACGTCGGGTTCGCTTATTAGCTTGCAGACTTACCGCCGGTCTTCCCAGAACAGATCTTAAAGGAGGAGACAGTGATCGAGCGGTACGAAGAAGAGAATACCGTCGTCGAGCCGTTGTCCGCCGAGGACGAGATCAGACAAGAGGAGGAGAAGCTAGCGGAGGAGAAACCGGTGGACGCCAACAGCGAGATCGTGTCCAACAAAAATCTCACGGATGACGAGATCGCTCAGCTGATCCTCGAGGAGGAGGAGCTCTTGTCCGATAAAGGATTACTGGGGTACATTTCCACGATTGTCGAGTCAACTGATAATGACATTGCGCGATTAAAAATTCATCCTCTTGCCACTCTTTTCATGTAACGGCAAAAAATTTTCTTGACAATTAATTAAAAATATTTTAAATATTGAAGAATCTTTTCAGCCGAATTTCCAAATAATGTCGGATGTATATTTATATTAATTACTAAAAATTAGAAGCTTTCTATTTTTTTTTGTTTTTATTCGCACAATTCCCAGCTCAAAGTAAATCAAGAATATTCTTCCTTTTTTTGTACAATATATTCTCTTCCAATTTTATTATTTTTTAGAAAAAATTAAGTAAAATATAAATACTTCTTTTTAATAATAGTAATGGTAACTTTGACTTTTTCCGTTCCCTCAACATGACAGAGTGAACTTCAAGAAATTAAGACCGCGCGCCTCGATCCTGAAAGATTCGAAGGTTCTGGAGGAGCTGCAGCATATCGCGGTAGCCGAGCCCGAGCGGGTGCAAGAATTGAAGCGCGCTTCCACCTTCCTGCAAAAGCCGCAGCGACCGGTGCCGAAGTTGAAGAGCCAGTCGAAGGTGGAAGAGGACGAGGGAGAAACTTACAAGGTCGTAATCAAGAAACAGGACAAGAAGACAGTGATCGCGCGTCTGGTGGAGAAGGGTTTACTGCCGCCAGGATCGGAGGCAGCCATCGCCAGGACACCGGAGCCGCCCGAGGTAAAGATGCATGAAACGGAAAATAAACTCGAAGAAAATCGTCCCCTTACCGTGCCCGATTCAAATTCCTCGTGTTCAACCTGCTCTTTCGATAACACCGACAACTCACTGTCGTCCCCGTGCCCTCCGGAATCCGACTCGAACGAATTTCTCACCTCTGAGAATCAACCGGCGCGTCACGCGACATATGAATGCAAATCGACGCTCTTTCACGTCGAGCCGAGTCAACCTCGAAGATACAGCACCGCCAGATACGACGAGGTCGGAGCGAGATCGCTCTTCAAGGGTCGCTACTTGGAGAACGTCCTCCGCGGTTACACTCGTTCCTGCGTTCTTCGCGATCGGCAAGTCGACGAGTTCGCGAAGACCAAATTGGGAAGCGTGTACCTGAGGAACGATTGGCTAAAAAATATTGGCCTCGGCAGCTTTTCGTCGAGCGAGATCAGAAGGAGGACGAGCAGATGCGCACGAGCGCACTACGCGGAGAGGATTTTGCTACGAAACGTCAACGCTGTCGCTAGACACTTTCGTCCAAAGCCGAAGGCGACTCGCGTCTTCGCCTCCAGAATGAAGGGAAGATACCTGACGACATATCTGAGACGCGAGAGCGTTCGGCTGATGTCCTTAATTGCCACGTTGTTCCAGTTTTTGTTGCAAAGACCAGGCGTCTCCGAGTCATCGAACCTGAGGATTCGCGAGCGACGTTTGAGTTTCAAGGGTCGCTACCTCGAACATGTTCTTCAGAAGAATGTCGCTCCTGTCCTCGAATGTGTCAAGGAGACGTGCTTCATCGATGACCTACCAAAGTTGATTGAGAAGAAAAAAGACGGGCCGAAATCTACGAGGACGAAAGGACGTTACATGGAGAAGTGTCTCCATCGGCAGAATTTGCGTCTGAGATCCGCATTAACGAACCTACTTGATTACGCGAGGAACAGCCTCGATAATCTCTTTGCCGTCATCACGTCATCGAGAGTGAAACGCACAATGAGAGGTCGATACTTCGAGCGGCTGGTTCGCAGAAATCTCAAGATCCTTGAACTGTTCGTGGAATGCGTTCGTTCCAGAATCTCCGAATGGCTCGAGGATAATTTATCGTGCACATCGCGAAATGAATTTCCTGTTGTCACTGTCAGTATCACTTCGAATCACATTGTCGATGATTTAATTTCGAATGAACAGCAAACTGATAGAGACGCCTTCGACTTAAAGATCTCCGAGTGGCACGAGGACGGTCCATCTTGCCCAGTGCAAAAAGAATCGCCCCTCATCATTAACACTTCCGACAATCCAGACCCGAACGAAGAAGAAACTGCTGAAAGTGGTCGCCAAGTACTCGAATGGAATAGCAATCCAATTTTCGAAGAAGCCGAAGAGTGTCCCGATCAATCTCGGTTATCGGCCAATCCTACAGACATGGTTCCAGAAGACACAATTTCGAAGTTCTTGCAGTCGGCCGAGGATTACGTTTCCACCGAGGTCTTCCATCGTGGCAGCAGACGACTCTCAAAACCGCGTAAATCTATCGATATCATCTCCAAGGAGGATGATAAGGCGTTGTCGAAATTCTTACAGTCGGCCGAGGATTACGTTTCCACCGAGGTTTTCCATCGTGGCAGCAGACGACTCTCAAAACCGCGTAAATCTATTGATGTCACCTCCAAGGAGGACGATAAAGCGTTGTCGAAATTCTTACAGTCGGCCGAGGATTACGTTTCCACCGAGGTCTTCCATCGTGGCAGTAGACGACTCTCAAAACCGCGTAAATCTATTGATGTCACCGCCAAGGAGGACGATAAGGCGTTGTCGAAATTCTTACAGTCGGCCGAGGATTACGTTTCCACCGAGGTCTTCCATCGTGGCAGCAGACGACTCTCAAAACCGCGTAAATCTATCGATATCACATCCAAGGAGGATGATAAGGCGTTGTCGAAATTCTTACAGTCGGCCGAGGATTACGTTTCCGCTGAGGTTTTCCATCGTGGCAGCAGACGACTCTCAAAACCGCGTAAATCTATCGATATCACATCCAAGGAGGATGATAAGGCGTTGTCGAAATTCCTACAGTCGGCCGAGGATTACGTTTCCGCCGAGGTCTTCCACCGTGGTAGCAGACGACTTTCGAAATCGTACAAGCGGGAAGACCAAGGAGAAGAGGATGTTCTGTCAAGTGTCCTCCGTTCGACCGGCAATTACGTCTCCAGCGAGGTGTTTCATCGCGGAAGCAGAAGATTGTCAAGATCATCCAGAAGGGAATCTGTTTCCCTCGTGGCTCCCACTCTGTGGGGCGGTTTGAAGGGCATACACTTCAATTTGCCTTGGTTCTCGTTCAGGGTCACCGAGAAGAGCGCAGAACGCAGCGGAGATTGCGAAGAGAAGATCAATCCCGAAATCGAGCGCGACAATCGAAGATTATCGTTCGTGCCGACGATTCTCTATCAGGGTATTACGAGTCATATCGGTATCGATTTCACAAAACTGGTGGTTTATGCGTTCGTACCTTGCACTTCAATTATCCTTCTGTACATGTATAAGTAATCAACTAATAACCATCTGATGATGTTTGTACCATTTGTTTTGATGCAGCTGATATAATTAAACTGTAAACGTAATTATAATCGATTCAAAACTCAAATCTGATTCTCAATTTACTGAAGAACGCAATATCGCATCAGTTTGTTAATTTAGATTAATGTACAACGTCTAAATCCCATGATTGTTATTTATCCTAAAATGATTCTAACTGACCTCAAATTATTATATACCTCTTTCTGTACTTGTTTAAAAAATTCTCATAAATATATAATCAATTTGGAACATTCATTGACACCTATATAAAAATGTTTCCCCGTGTAAATAATGTGTCCCCAAATTTCAGTGTAATCATATATTCGTTTTGTGTTCTTTGTCTTATTGCTAGAATAAGTATTACCAGAGTGAATCTACATCGTAGAATAATGTGAATGCAAAGATAGCTAATGTGATCGATTCAATACGCAAGCGAAAATGTAATTAATTTTTTCCTTAAGAGATTTCTCAATTGTGTGAAATATCCTAATTAAGTGATTAAATTGTTAAAACTGGTTATTCATATTTGTATTTCTTTTTATCTATCGATATACATCCAATCGCTTTTCTCACATAACAAAAATATGAATGGCAACAAAAGGAAGTTCAAGTAATTTTATTACATATAATGTATCATGACTATAAGTACATAGTATTATAGTTTATTTTTTATCTTAATTATTTAGTATTTATTGTAATTTAATTTTTATTATCTGATCTTATTATAATATAGAATATAATTAAATCGTACATTACATAAGCGCTAGTTCCATACGTTCTTTCAGTACAAGACATCGGATATTTCAAAAGGTAAGTATACAAATATTATATTTTTTCAGATTTTATAGAAATTTATATTATTTATCAATTGCAATAAAAAGATGGTTATATATCATGGTCACCTACATATAATTTATACTACATAGACATATAACGAAAAGATTAGTTGCAGCATTTATTTTTGAAAATAGTATCAAGAAATATGAATTGAATGATAGAAAGAATTGTTTTATTATTTTCAAAAATAATTGTTTAACAGATAATTACTGTAACACACACATAGATAACATTTCTCAAACGAAAATAAGATTATTAATTTCTGATATTGTTGAATTTTCAAAAATATGCTTTCTCTTTATTTTTTTATAAGCTAAAAATTATTATACAAGATAATTAGTAAAACTATTTTTGATATCTTATTTCGTTTTGTATTAGAAAACAATTATTCGTTCTCAGACAAAAAATATATCAATTAATATAACATCTAAAACTCTTATGAAAGATTGGGTCTTTTATTGTCTTAAAAATTTATATAACGTCCTGAAGGATATGTCAGAAGAATCGAATATCTGAAAAATTAACGAACCTCTGTCAATACTGATTGTGAGTCATCCGAAGACGAAACCTCTGTTCAGAATATTTCTATAATTGTAATTTTTCTCACGGTTTAGACAACGACTCCAGCTGCGACATCAGAGCTCGCATGCAGGGCAGAGCAAGAAGGAGAGTCTGATTCACGTCCCGTATCAAAGGTAGAAGAAGAAAAGAAAGGCGACGAGGTCGACGAAGTCAAAGCGGAAAAAAGACCAGAGTTCAAGGAGGAGGATCATCGTCCCGAATCTTGTGAGGCAAGATCAACGCAGGACGAGCATACGACAGCCGAGGAGGATTCGAGCGTCTCCACGTCAGATCCGGTAACGGCAAGAGCCAATACCGAGAAGATCAAGCAATTGGTATCCACGGAGATCAGCCTCGAGCAACAATTGGAGAACGTGCAGCGACAATTACTCGCCCTGAAGCAGCTACCGAGCGAGATCGAAAATCATCTGAGGATCGTGTCGGAGCAACTGCACAAGATCATGGAACTTAGCGGCGTGCAGTGGTCCCTTGGCAACGGAAACGTCGGCTGCCGCGGATCGTCAGGTGACCGAGATTCGTATAATCGTGTCCAAAATAGCCAGAGCGGACCTTGACGATGATTCTCTAGGCATATTTTCGAGTTTCATCGCTATGCGACTTCGATTCTGAACTGAATGCCAGTTCTCACATCCTTCGCGATTAAAAAATGAGTTTGCATCCTATTGTAATTAAATAACTTAATTTTCTCAAACAAAATATTTCTCTCGGTATCTAATATTTTTCTTTTTAAAAAAATTTTAAGCTCTTTCATATATATAGATAAATTTAAGTGTACAAAAGTGCGGCCTAGATTAGATATAGAACTTTTAAATTTTCACATTGAAGTTTCGAATTTTTCTTTTTTAATGGCGCGCTTTAATTTCGACTTATTGTCATTCAGAAGAGAATATTGCGCCGCGGCGAAAGGACGAGGAGGAGGAGCTGAGGGAACAAGAGGAGAACACCGACGAGGAGGACGAGGAATTTACGGAGACTTACGATTACATCGAGGAGATTGCATGTTTGGAGCGAAGGACGTCATCGAGGTCAACGCCGCAAGTGATCGAGCCCAGTGATGACGAGGGAGAAATGGAGGAAGAGGAAGCGGAGACGAAAGAACTGGACGGCATGATTTCCGTGAAGAGCGCGGACGAGGAAGGAAGTAGAGTGAAGAAGTTCATCGTCTCTTACGAAACTAAGCTTCTGAAATCGCCCAGTCCGGCACCATCGCACGGTAACTATCGATATTATTTTATATCTTTGCAGCGACTTTATCGGCTCGAAATTTTGCAAAAACAATATAATTAAATGATGTAATGTAATTCCATAAGCACGCGAAGTGCCTGCGATATTAAAATATTATTTTTCGCATTAAGTTTGAGTTAAATATGAGACTGAATTTTTTGTAAAATACAATGCTACATTATAGGAAGTTTCGAACCAGATCCTAATCTGTCACCAAAAGATCAAGTTATACAGGAACTGCAGGTACCCAATAAATAGAATGATCTGTGTTCCACCTAGGATGAAATGATAATCACACCGTTCTCCCTTTGTACTGTACATGCTAAAAAATTATAGACTCGTCGAATGTTAATGAAAGCTCACCCTGTTTCAAGATCCTTAATAAGTTAATTACATAAGTGCACGATGAATCAAATTATATCTATTTTTCTTACTCTAAAGTTAATGTCCTTATTTTGTAAATTTATCGATCTCCTAAACATCACTTTTTGATTATAAATCAATTTCTGCATTGATCTCGAAAGAGTTTATACGTGTCGTGAATCCGAATTTCGTTATTATGTTATCCTTTATGCGACTGATGCATGGTGAATGTTCGAATCCGGGCAAAATCGTTAACTTGTCGCGTTTGAACTTTCAGGAAAGGGTGCACAAGAAGGGCAAAATGCACTCGCAGGATCTGTGGCCGCAGGCTAAGCAACTTGAACTTACGCAAGGTCGCAGATGGAGATGCCCGAATGACTTCTTCAACGACGAGATGATAGCGGAAGTACTGTGCTCCCAGACGGAGGTCATTCGCGGTAGAGCGATGGGGTAGGAATAATTTTACGACTAATTTTATCTCCGATAAAAAATTCGAAACGAAAATTAAAATTATACCAAGGTGGAAACATAATCATGATATTCACGATTGTTTTAAAACCTATAAAAAAAGTATTAAATTGATCGATTGTACAGAGTAAACTTCAAGAAGTATGAGAAGACGAACTTACCAAGCTATGATTACCTGATGAATTCGAGTGTTTATAAGATGATACATAAAATGGAGCGAGAACCGAAAAGGGGTATCCCCGTCAGACCCGCTAAAGTCAATGCGGCGGAAGATATAATCGAAAGAGTTGTAAGAGCTTTTTTCTTTGTAATTTTTCACAGCTGTCAATTATAAATCGCTTAGAACAGAATGGAGGTGATGATAATTAATTGTAAAATCGTGGCAAACGAGATATTTCTTAAACGATTTTAAATCGTGTTTATGGAAACATTTTAATTGTTGGTAGCAGACATTGCCAATTAATCATTATCATCCCTATATCATTGCGTTGTTGAATCCCATGAATTAAACCTTATCTTATTTCAAACCAACTAAAATTAACAGATAACGTTATCTGTCTGAGTAAATAACTCCAAATAAAATACGAAATAATCGAAAATGAAGCAGTAGCTTAGTAGTAATTTAAGATTATTATCGATATTATTAACCGAAGAAGGAAAAAAAGAAAATCTAATTCCTTAACAATTTTCAGAAATCACCGGCGTTGAGCGTTGTAGACGATAGGAGCGCTCGAAGCGTCAGCCACTAATGCAACAGCGATCATATATGCGATGAGAATGTAATATGATAGCTTATGCGCGAGAAATCTATATGTGCTTGAAGGACGTGTTAAATCTATACATCTGAAAAATTCAAGGAAACCGCTAGAAATTACCAGGAATGTAATTATCCGGCATGTTAATCGCGTCTGAAAATATGTTATCGTATCATCGTGTATACTATTATCGGTACAACGTGGTTATAATAATTCTAAGCACGTGTGCGTGTACGTATGTTCGTATTTAAATCGCCCCGAGAAAGATTTCCCCGCCAGCCCGTTGCACGTATCAATAGCGACCAGCCTTTTTCCATAAATTTGCACGTTCGGATTAATTAATTCAGCAAATATGTAAACGCATATAACTTCTAAAGAGTACGATAAATGTTTAACTATTTTTGCGCAAAAGCAACTATGCCTTGTTACTCTACATTTTTCTATAGTTGTAAATTGCAAAATTAAAAAATCTTATATCCTACCAAAATAATCAAGCATTATGTCCCTCAAAATGGCATTATTTTCTTTTACCAATATACGTGTTTTCTTATATTCATATCGCTCTATATACAGACTGTCCAATAACCAGGTGTGACTAGCAGGTGCGTAGTTGTGCCTGGTAATTAATTGATTTTCGAGGAAAGTGATTTAGAAAGTGAAGTACGTGAAAGTGGCGTACGTCCTTTTCACTCGGTATTGACACTTTGCGTTCGCGTCCACTCGCTAATAAGGACACTAAGTTATTAGTGGAAGCTGAGGGATCCATTTGCCTAAGTCCGCTTGCGCACCGATTGGGAACCGATAGCGTCGCCGTTAGGTCTCCGCTTATCTCGAAGCGGTATACCTACACTCTGTGTACCGCTGCGTCCCACTGTATAACGCGCGGGATCACTATTCCGCTCGACGTGAATCGACCGAGGTGATTGCCGGATCTCCGGAACGTATGCGATGATTGAAGCCGACCCAGAAAGGCAAGTTTCCGAGTAAACGACCGCGATTGTCCGCTCGTTCGGAAATCCGCGCGGTTAATCCCGCGGATGAGTCGCGCGGGGCATACTTTCTCCTTTCCGGGGTTTCCGAGGTCTCCTAGCTGTTATCCGCGTCTCGCGTATGCGTACCACCGGCTGAGTCATGTCTGCCTGCTTGGCCGATGAACCTCTTTTTAGTTTTCTCCTTCTCTCTCTCTCTCTCTCTCTCTTTCTCTCATTCACTCACTCTCTCCCTCCTCTGTCTCTCTCTTCCTCTCACTTTTACTTGCTTAGGGTCCCCGATCGTGACGTCGGCCTCAAGCAATTTATGTAAAGCATTCTAGGCATGATTCACGAACTAGTTCGCGCCCTCGTGACCGCCACCGGCGCAGAATGCAGTCGCCGCGAGCACGGGTGCGTCCATCAAGAGGTGTCCTGTCTGCGATTTTTCGAATTCGCACGTTGTAGCATTGATACGCTAAACATATCGATTTTTAAGAAGATGCGCTTTGTTCCGGTTTGTATTTAAACGTAATGTAGTTTGCATTCTCATATGTGTTATATGTAAAATGAAAAGAAGAAATTGAAGTATATTGGTTAATACTAACAATATTGTCAGAGGTACTTCAGAATTTTAGAAACTAATAACATTTTAATAGAATTTGAAACTATAATAACATCTTTTTTAATATTGGAAAAGAAATTGCACTAATGCAATAAGCAATGTCGATCAAATTAACTTTGTCATTTCCAATAAATTTATATGTAGATTTAGTACTATTTATAATTTACATTCATGTTTTATATGTAAATTTTTTGTGGTTTATGTTATAAACGAGAAAATATTTATTGCAACACATAAATTGATCTCAATATACTTCTAAAAAACAAAGTTGCTTTAACTTGTCATAACTGGAATATTGCAGTCTCTGCAACTCTCAAATATCAAAGATATCCCAGAAATAAACATTTATGTGAATTTTAATCAGAATGTGATTATAAAGCAGTAAAATATTTTTGACGAAAAGCTCGTAATATAATTTTCCTACGTGTCTGCGTTTCTGCGTGCAAAGATATTCTCATGTAGCCTTTTTTTTATTATACGGGGGAATACGCGCGAGATTCTTTTCCCCGGCATAACTCACGTGTGTTTTCGCCGTCAATTTCGATAAATTCATATCTGATTGCCGAGAGACTTAATGACATGGGAAGTATGCGACGGTGCACCAGGATTTATTTAACGAGTTTCCATTCGTGACCTCCTACGTGACCTATCGACGACGATGATTTAGGTTCATCTTACCATTCTCATATGTCGGAAGAGAGTCTTCGAGATACAGATAAATGAAATTCCAAACATGCTCATATATTTAAAAAATTCAATTCCTTTCTTAGACACTAACGTGCATTTTAATATACACGTCAATGATATAAATAATATAAAAATTGTCTTTTTTCGAAAAGATACAAAAGAATAAATTAAAACAGAAAAAAAATAATACATAAATCAAAAATAATAAATCAAGGATGATTGAAAAAATAATGACTCTTTCTTTTATATCTTACTAAAATAATCTTTCTAAAATAACTTAGAAGTTTTAATTGATTCATAATTAACTATATGTATGTTGAATCTCTCTAACAATAAGACACAAACAAGATAAAACTCTTTGTGCGATAGAGAAAACGCTTAGAAATTTTTCTTTCGAAATTAATTAACAATTTTTCGAAATTTTATTCATGATTCCTATCACTTCCTATTCATGATTCTTTCACTTTAAAATAATAAGCCACGTCAAACAAAGCCAGGAAGAGAAAAAGAGAGAGAGAAAGAATGGCGTAATTAGTAACGGAGAGGAACGGAAGAGACGCAAAACGCGTGCGCGCTCTTCTTGTCATGGTCACCGAGATGGTCAACTCGACATTCCCGATCTTGTCCCGTCCTCTTCCTTCGATCGGTCCTCCTCTTTCCGCCCCAGCTTATATCTTATTGCCTGCACCTTCCGCCTCTTGGTTCCCATCGTCGCGGTGTGCAAGGAGCACCTTGCACGATGCGCCGGATGCACCGATGGACACGCTCGATGGACAAAATATCGTTTCGGGAATTTTACAATGGATAATAATAAAAGACAATCTATGATCTTAATAATTAATTCAGAGAACGTTCAATTTTCTCCTCCACCCGCTCCACCTTGATTCTTTAGTCTCTATTTAGGACGTCGCTCGATCGCATTCCATCGCAGACTATTATTCCGCGACCTTATTTCAGAATTCGATTGTCTTCACTTCGTAACTTCGCGACAAAGGCGGTCGGTCGACGCGCGAAGAATTCGCACAGTTCGGACATTAAGAAAGATTCCAGCGAAAATGGTTTGCATTGTAAGGAGGAACGACCGACTCCTGTTTCGTTCTTCATTCGACTAATAAGACATCGCTTATATATATCGTATCTTATTATAAATCCGGATATCTTCCTTCCAAATAATTTCAGCCTCGAGTTCAAAGTTGAAACTGTTCGACCGCCGGCAGAGCCAGGCGCTGATTTCGAAATTAATCGAAATTTAATACACTTTTAGTGAAATTTTGTCATTTATTTTCGCGACTGTCGTAAAATTCGTGTCCGAAGAATCTGCTGCAGTGTTCGCTGTATCCGAAGAAATTCCTGCCAAAACATAATAAATAATTGGTCTCTTTTCCTCTCTATAAGTCCCCGCCAGCTGCCCACCACGCATTTCCCTCCTTCCTCCTGCTGTCTCCCCCCTGTGCTATTTCTTCCCTTTCCTTCCGCGCTCTCGCACTCCTCCTCTTCGTTCCGAATCGCGTGGCGAGGAGGCCCCGCTGCCCGACTGACCGTCCTCGGCGCCTCTTATACCTTTACTCCGGTCTGCGCGTTCTTCAGGGAACGTACGTGCCCGTTTCACGTTCCACTCCGAGAGAGCGCGATACACATATCCCCCTTTTTAATAGAGTAACGTATACACGAGCGGCCAACAAACGGACGTTGTCGACCCAATTTTTGTCAGTGGTGCATCGCGTGGTACCTCGAAGGTAACTGAGCCTTGGGCTTAAAGGGCTCCCCGTTCACCAAGTAGCCGTTCGACAGTTCTCGAGATCGTTCACCGTTCGTTCGCACGATCGTTCACTCCGACATACGATCGGCAAGAGTTCGGGCGAGACAGTGATATGGCACAATTGATCAGCGTCAAGCTGTCCAGGTTCGACGGATCCCCCTGGGGCTTCCGTCTGCAAGGCGGCAAGGATTTCGGCACGCCGCTCATAGTGCAGAAGGTGAGTCAATCTGGACCGTCCATTTGACCCTCTTACTTCGTGCCGGGACTTTATGTCAGCTAAAGTATTTCCAAGTATTTTATCAACTGTGATACGACACAAGTGATAACGTACACGTATAGGTCTCTCCTAAATCTCTTTCGTAACACATTTCTCCTGTTGTGCATTAACGTCGCGTTACAATATTTGTGAAATATTTATAATACAAGTGTGAAATGTTTTCAAAATTGTTCATTATATTAATATATAAAATGTTATATTATACAACTGGGGTTATTAAACAAATAATCTATGACTTGGCCTGCACGTGTATTTCAAGCGTTAAAAATAACATCGTGCGCGATGACATAAAAATTAATATACGTAACATCGCGACCAAAATTTAAATGCGATTTAGACGCGTGTTACACTTGTCGATAAGTTTCTGCTGATGAATACACTTTCTGTCCGCGGGCTTGTTTATGCGGGTTTATCATTCTACGTTTTATTTTAATTATTGCTCACTACACATAACGTTTCTTGAATATCATTGAATCATCATGAAAGAATCGCGAGACTTTTTTGAGAGATTTTGAAGGAGCGATTTTCAAGAAGCCACTCGAGCCGGATCTCAAGTTGACTGAGGCAGTAGTAAAAATATTTCTTGCAGCCGTTTATATATAGCGATGTTTTATACAGCTATTTTCATCTGCGGTTCCTTGTCGTTCGCCTCTACAACGTTTCTTGATAGTCGAGCAGTTCGACAGTAGAGAGTATATATTGGCTCCGATATCACGAAACTGCCGATTGTAAAATTAAGAGGAAATATATAACGTTACTATAATGCACTCGCTTCTGCACGATATTCGCTCATTTGCATCTTCCCTTCGCGTGTCGCTCGCGAGATGTCAATTGCCACAACTCGGGCGGAATAGGATTTTCATTGAACACAAGGATCGATCAATATGCCCAATTGGAATCATCGCGAGTAGCGGCGCTTCCACTCTATGCAACTGATTAAGCCTCTCTTGAGACGTCGACACGTTTTCCATTGGTCAAATGTCACGTGTCAGATTTTATTAAAATAAATTTATTATGTTATATACATCCTCATATTTAATCGTGTATAACTATGCGACATTGTCGTATTTAAATGGAAATTTTTATTATGTCAACTTTTATGATCAGCAAGTTCGCGTTTAGTGATGTGTGAATGAACATTCGCGAATCTTCGGTATGCGGAAGCGAATAACGATAATGAACTCCGAGAGCAAGAGCGAGATGAAAGTGAAACGCAAACGGGACTCCCTCGCGACTCGTCCTCGGAAATGAAATCTGTATCAAAGGCTGAAGAGTTGACACTCGACAGGCGGACGGCACGTGTTGATGCCGTCGTAACGCGAGCCCCTCGTTCTCAGTATACGATCTAAAATATCAAAACCAATTATCACGGAATTGGGAATCAAAGATCGAGATCGCTCGTTGGCCTCTTATTTTACGCGAAGAAACACGTCTCGCGTATAAATTCATAGAAAATATAATTAAAAATCAGAGAAACATCCCTTTAAATTTTGTCCGAAAATCATAACAGTTAATCTAATCATCAATAATGCGCTGATTATCATTATTATCTTTCATCCTGCCTAACGAATCTCTCATATGGTACCATTAACATTACGATTAACAAAATCCTCATACACATTTCAAGAGGAGAGGAAAGTCGCTCCGTATGCGGAACGCGAGCTTTCCCGTGCGAGCTTTTCGTAGTTCATCACGACCGTGAGACGCGATCGGCTGTGTGTTTTGATATTACGATCGAGAGAGGAGCCACGTATGCGTTACGTAATGCGGCGGTAAACGCCAAATTATTTCACGCGCATCGGCAGAAATCGTTGCCAACTACGTGCGAAACGCCGGGCTCGCCGCCGACGTCGCCGCCACCGCCGCTGCCTCCGACGTGTTTTGGCGATGCTTGGTGCTGTAACACGAGAAGCTTTTGGCGAACGTGTTGGAGACGCGGGTGTCGCCCCGCGGATTCTTTCCCGCGACTTTTTCCGTGCGCTCGAGCGGCGTTTATACCGCCATAAGCGCTATTATTAAGAAGACGTTGGCACGCGAGTGCCAATGTCGAGCGACGGCGACCATCGCGGATTTAGCGACAGCTTTCACGCGCGCGAACTGTCAGAAATTCTAACATTCTCGTGCTCCCGTAGTCAATAATTCCCCACGCGAAAGTTTTGTTGACGGGAGTATGTTTATACTCTCGCCCTCTGTTTCGTCTATCGTATTTTAAATTTCGAATTGTAGTATGATTCAGTCCGCTCTGAAGGCCATTCGAACAGCATCTAGAACGTAATTGTTACAAAATACGCGTGTAATAATCATTTAAAAAAAATCAATATTCTTCTTATCGTTAAAAGAAAAATAAAGCACGCCTGTAATACACATGTAACTCTTGTACAAACGAGAACATTCGTGTAAAAATTCGTATTCGATTCTTATTAAGAGGAGGATACGTATTTCCGTATTCTCTCTCTCACTCTCTCTTTATGAAATATATATCGACAGAAAATCGTTGTAATTCGAGTCTCAAGGACGCCAGATTCCTCGATCGGGTTTTCTGCACGCACGCTCAGACCGTTTCGCGCATCTTAACGCGTTTTGGCGAAAGACGTCGTCGCGATATCGCGCGATCGAGTTCAAGTACCCCAAATTGCGAAGTAGAAATCGGATCGGCGATCATCTCTCTCTCCGCGAGAACCTGCGCGAGAGACGCCTTTGACACCGTGTCGGACTCATATTTCTCTCCTTTCCGAGAAAGCCGGGGGCGGCCGCACGCTCGCCGTATTTGCGGCCTCGTAAAATAAACGAACCACGTGGTGCACGACGAAGAAGGCCAAGTTCGAAACGCCGATTACGAATAAAACCATTTAGCGTAGCCGCGATAATTTCCGGCGCGAATAATCGATCGTCTTCTTCGACTGAAGAGCTTGCATTCTCAACGGAGCGTCTTAACGGAGTAAATGCGACGTGGACGTGCGCGAAATATTTTGTATACCTACTACCGTCGGCAATTTTGAAGTGCAATATTTGCACAATATTTCCGCGGTATCAAGTTGTACACGATGAAAATCAGGCAGTTCGATAAGAACATAATTTTTCTAAATTCTATACTATCTCGCTCGTACAAAACTTTAGTGACAGAAGTTATAAAGTTACGTTAAATAAAATAACAATCTCTTTCTCTTTTCTTCAATATTTTAAGCAAAAATTGACATATATGCACGGATTAAACGTATTATTCTGGTATTTAGGATTGTATCACTCGTAACTTTTGAATTCCTATATGCTATTTTTATTCGCACGCGAAGACTCTGCACGGTGACTGCGTGATCTTGTTCTGAAAGTTAGGAAAAAATGCGCCCACGAGGATTAGCTCCTCATGAGGAAGAGAAGAAGGGGGAGCAGCGGCGTACGTCGCTGGTAATCCGAGGCAAATTATTTGGGCGTTCTATTTCTAGAAGGTGCCTTTGCGAAACCCGCGCGAGCCGAGTCGGGCCTCGCTCGCAACGGCGCGACGGTGAGGGCAGCGCGGGCGCTGATTGCGACGGCGACGCTGCCGCCGTCTTCGTGGGACCCACGTTTTCCTCCCGAGGCAAATAATGCGGTCGCGGAGTATCCGGCCCCGTCCGCAGTCCCGTCGAAACGAAGTCGAAACGATTTCTGTTCGGCCAGCGCAGACAGGGAAATATTTAGACGCGCATTTTTGGAGGCTGCGTTAAAAGACATTAGGGCGCGCGTTTAACGTGATTTATGAGTGAATGCGGACAACGCGTGCACGCGAGCCTCGTCGATCATCGCGGCGCGATAAATATTTTCACCAGCGGACCGACCAAACTCGTGTAAATCGACAAAAATACGTATCTCCTCCTATTTACGAGATATAGGAGATAGCAATAGTAAGCAAATATCGACGGATCTCGAGTATATAATCTCAGATACGAGGACTGCACGTAACTCCATCTCCGATTTCCCTTACGTATCTATATAAAGAATATAACGAAATGCCAATATAATTTCAGTACAGAAAAAGACTATAGTAAAGAGAATCAACGAAATTTTTATATTCAGTGATGTGTAAAATATCGATTTTGATATAATAATTGAATGATTATTTGTGCATCAGTTAAATAGCAATATATGTATAATAATTGAATAATGAATAATATATATATATATAATATACATAATGTAATAATTGTATAATAATCGAATGATTATTTGTGCATCAGTTAAATAGCAATGCGTTTTAATTCATTCAAACTGTACCTCAATGTAATATTTTTTGCGTGATCAAGACTCTTCATTCGCTCTTAATTGCACACAAAAAATTTTAACGCAATAAGTATCCGAGTTTTCGAAGATCAAGATTCACCGCGCGGCATGTTTTTACCGTAAATTATTCTTCTTGCAAAAGAAAGAGAGAGAGATTCTATCTGCTTGCGCTTCCCGTTGCGATTCCACGGCGCGGTGCACCGGCGCGGCGCGGCGGCCGCGACGGTGCATCGAAGCGTGGGCGTTCGCGTTACGCGATATTTTGTTGGAAAACGGCGAGCACGCACGCGTGTCGCGTTATCGCGCCGTGGAAGGACTCGGCAACTTGAGTTGCGGGTGTCGTTAGCCGATTGCGACGTCACGCCGTTGATAAGGATTTTTCCAGGTGCGAGGGAACCGCCGCAGGTGAAAGGCGCCGACGAGAGAAAAAGATTTCGAGAGAACTTTTTTTCGGCATTTACCAACGTCACGCGCGTGGCGTTGACCTGATAATTGCGTGTCGTTCTGCTAATTAAACTGGACTTCCTCATGCGTTATACGCATAATGGAAAATTTAAATTTAACGAGGCCACGCAAGAAAGCGTTTTGTCCCGCGATTAGCGATTGTACGGACGCACGCTATTTGTTGATTACAGTGAGCAAGACATTTTTTGTATTTCACTACAAGCAACTGTTAGAATGAGATA